TCACCCAAAATCATTAAAAGTCTCTACAAATAATCTTTGGTATGTTCGGCAAATTTAATGTCAATATTTAAGTCTATAGGATGTGTAACCACCTCTCTTCCGGTACAGTTCCATAACACGGCGTCTCATACTCTGTACAAGCCTTCTGAACTTTAGTTGAGCAAATTTATTCCATTCATCAACAATTGCCCCTCTTAAATCGCCAAGATTTTGCAAAGGTGGCTCTCTGCGATTGAAATTTCTGCCAATGGCATCCCAGATATGTCCGATAGGGTTCAGGTCTGGAGACATGGAAGGCCAAAAGATAGTGTCAATGGCTTCTTGATCTTTGTAATCGGTTACAATCCTTGCCCTGTGTGGTCTAGCGTTGTCGTCCATGTACGAGGGTCTTGACGCAAGTTGGGAATTCTCAAAGTGAGGGACTACAATGTTTCTAAGCACCAAATCCCTGTATGTCTGTCTGTTCATGTTACCCTGCAAAATATGCATACCCAACTTACAACAGTATGAGAAGAAACCCCATACTGTAACACCACCATCAACGATTGCTGTCGTTGGGCAATTGTTGTTTCGGTGATAGGCAGTTTTATTTCCCCGCCAAACTCGTATTCTGCCGTCTTTGGTCGTAAGAGAAACCAACTATCATCTGACCAATGAATATTTTGCCAGGTTCTCATGTTCCATCGTCGATGGTCATTAGACCTTTGAAACCTGATTATACGGTGCCTTGCTGTTAGGGCACGTCTTTTGACAACACAACATGCTCTTAGGAAGCCTCTATGAAGTCGACGGACCAATGTTTGAACACTAACACGACCACCTAGAGGCAAATGGTGTCTAAGCTATGGGGTAGGAGTACATGGGTTGGCTTTAGCACGACCAATAAGTAGTCTGTCATCACGATAGGTAGTTAAACGGGGTCTTCCGGACCTTGGTCTATCATTTACAGTTCCTGTGTCAATATGACGTTGTAAAAATCTGACAATGACGGTGCGATTAACATTGAAATGGAAACCAATGCTCCTAGTGCTCCTACCGGAATTTGACATGTCAATTGCTTGTCAACGTTCAGTCACAGATAACTTACCGCTTGCCATATTTCACAGTGACTTGGTGAAGGTCAAATTTCACCTGTACGCGGGACAGTAGGAAGATGATTTAAAGGCATTGAAACAGTGTATTTGTAAAAGTGCAGATGACCTTTCATAAAAGGTTGCTTGGAGGGTATATCGGAGTTTAATTTTTTTGGTCGTAATGAATTTTCTTAGTGTATGCTATAGGCAATTCGTAACACCAAACATAGATATTTTTTTCGCAATAGTTAAAAAAATATTGACAGTTATATTTAGGTGGTGCTTAACTTTTGGCGGACTGTATACATCTCTATACAAATATCTAAATTTGAACCTTCTCCCCCCTCCCTCTAGACACCGAGGTTTTGGGTCCGCCCCTGTTAAATGTGTCTAATTATATACATTTTGTACGGGTCTAGATAATAGCTAAACGTACAATCATATAATTTGTTGGATACCTAATTATATTATATAATGTGTCACAAAATAAACTTGTATACCCCCCTTCTCAATGCAGTATTGAAAAGTAAATCATTTTAAAGTCCTGAAGATAAAACATGTTTTGAAATATGCCCTGCATACTTATTTATGCAAAGACATATAGTAATTATTGAACTACTGTGCCGGGGGCTTGAAAAAAATCTATTTAAGAGATTCGGAGACGAGAGCAGTAAAAAAAAACTCAGCAACGAATCCTAAATGTAAAATGATTTGCAGCATAAGACATGAGAGCACATATTATAGATGGTATTAAATATGAAGTTCACGCCTCATATGGGTCATTATAAAAAAACATGCAAATTTCGATGAAGTAATATTTGGAAAAACGATGTCATTGTTTAAAACATTTAAATGTGTCCCTCTATTCTATAGTATGGTAGCAACTATTTTCAGAAATATGCAATGGGAAAAATGAAGGGTTCCTTCAATCTTAACAATTTTAGGTCATCCTTTGATAGAATCGTGTCAATGGTGTTACCAATTTAAAACATGCATTTAGGTACTAAATATTATTGTTAAACATCAAACAACTGTTCCAATTTGTTGTTAAGGTTTAAATTACTACTTATTGACATTATTCCTCTAGCTAAACATTCTTTTTAAACATAAATTTCAGAATGCATTGTCGTAAAAAAGTTGGCTGTCCTAATTATGGCTGTTGTAAATACTAAAAAAATACACTTAAATTGAATATATGTATAATGTATAAGATGAAATGATAAGAATATGCTTAATCCTTCGTATACAACCTAAAAACGCTTCCATTTATGAATAAAAATTAAAAAGTATCGCATTTTTATATAGTAACACCACTGACTCTTCAGTAACTCCAATGACACAAAAGTATCACCATTGACAACACATTTCAAATTTTACTTTTATGAAGTACTGAACACAAAACAGAGAACACTGAGCAAAAGAAAAAGAAGAAAAATAATTCTTAGGCTTAAAAATCTCAAATTATATAACATATAATATCAATAACCAAAAATGTCAGTAGTGTTACTAAATAGTGTCATTGGTGTTACCAGCATACACCGGTTTTTGAAAACTTTGTATAGGTAATACATGATATTGTTAAAACATTGTTAAATAAGTATTGTTTGTTATAGATAATATGATGTTTCGCTTGTTAAACATGAAAGAAACACCAAAAAATGCTGATTGTCATAATATATTCAGTGGTGTTACTAAGCTGGTCAATGGTGTTATTTTATTAAAATGGTCTCACCATTGACAGTAACACCATTGATTTTCAGGTGTATTTTAAGGTTTAGTTACAAAATAAGGGCTCCATTCCCCTATTTTATATGGTGTTCCTGGTGCATGTTTCTACAATCAATATATTTCATAATTCAAAGTTCAGGAATTTAAAAAAAAAAAATGATTTTTATAAGGGTACACCATGGACACTATTTTCAATTACGATATAGCTTGTACTTACTTTTAATATTTTTTTACTAAATTTTCAACATGAATGTTTGTTTTCTTTTGCATAACATGCTTACAGGTAACATTGCTATGGGAGAAACTATTGTAAATGCTGAAATATTGAGAAAGATAACTCTTACCCTACCAATTTGTCTTTTGGTTACACCATTGACTTAAAAATGAGACTTTTCCTTTTGGTTAAATTTTTTATTATAAAACCAACATACACCTTCCAAATCATTAAAAAAATGTTTGTATGTATCAAATGCAATAAAAAGTGATAATTTCTAATATCAAATGATATGAATAATAGCCCTATTTCAGGTCTGAAGGGATTTATAGTAAAAAATAACAGTCGATTCTGGCTATATCCAAGGGTTTGAGAAAAAATTAAGAATGTTTTTATAACATTTCATACTGTAAACTGTGTATAGTGTATCACAAAACATTCATATCTTTCATATGCAATAGTTATTTTGATACATTTTGATATAGTTTCATGTCTTTTGACTTGAAAAGACCAAATAACATAGTTTTGCATGTTTTTTTGATAATGACCCATATAGTGAAGTCCTATGTCATAGGACTATTGTTGTAACATGGGTTAGTAACTGGTTCCAATTTATCCTGAATTGTCTTTATTAAAGAATTAGTTCCGGAGTATAACAGCTTATGTCTCTACTTGTGGGTTTCTGGTTCTGCTGTCGTAATTAGGTGATTTTTTTTCTACATGTAGTAAAAAAGAGGGGGCTTAGTCCAAATAATTGTAACGTCCTGGATGCTTTTTATTCATTTTTCATGTGTGCCTTCCTGCAACGTCTCTGAGGATCAAGAAAAGTAAAAAATGATATAGCACTAAAGAACGTCATGATTACATGTATCTGGACTTAGAAGGGGGAGGGGGGCTAGCTATGTATTTTTTTTTATTTCAATGTGTAGACTGTAGGAGAGTTTCTTCAGAAAAGGTTTTCGTTGGAGGTGTTTTTGCCATGCACACAGGCACCTGTTTCTATCCATGAACAAGTTGTGTGTCAAATTGATTATTATTACTTGTCACTCGCATTTGTTGCTCGTCCTGGCCATTATTGGCATAAACAGCCTGTGCACAAACTCGCACGAACGCCAAATTTAGTTAGAGGGGCGATATTCTGACGCGTTTTTTAATTCTTGGTCACTCAAGTTTAGAAAGAAAGGGGAGAAATCGAAACAATTACCGACCAATCACAAACGTTGTCGCAAATTTGACCTTATGACGTCAAAGAATTTCCCATAATGCAATTTTTGCATATAAATAAAAAAACTACTATACCAATTGAATAAAAAATATTGCATTCAAATGACATTTTATACCAATTGAATAAAAAATATTGCATTTGAACGAAAATTATACCATTTGAATGAAAAATTATACCATTTGAATGAAAAATTATACCATTTGAATGAAAAATTATACCATCTGAATAAAAAATATTGCATTTGAACGAAAATTATACCATTTGAATGAAAAATTATACCATTTGATTGAAAAATTATACCATCTGAATAAAAAATATTGCATTTGAACGAAAATTATACCATTTGAATGAAAAATTATACCATTTGAATGAAAAATTATACCATCTGAATGAAAAATTATACCATTTGAATGAAAAATTATACCATCTGAATAAAAAATATTGCATTTGAACGAAAATTATACCATTTGAATGAAAAATTATACCATTTGAATGAAAAATTATACCATTTGAATGAAAAATTATACCATCTGAATAAAAAAAATTGCATTTAAATGAAAAAATATACCATTCAAATAAAAAAATATTGCATTTAAATGAAGATATATACCAATTAAATAAGAAATATTGCATTTAAATGAAAAATATCAAATTTTTGCAACCAATACCATGCCATATAAAACTTAAAAATCCAATGTACGTCTAAAGTATATAGTTTATGCGATATCCGACATATTAAATATACTTAACAACTACTCACCAGTAGCCAGCATTACAGAAAGAAAATCTACGCTAAAAATTAAGAAAATGTGAATTAACTCCATTATGTATTTAATAAACACTAACTGTCGTCCTAGTACTACATTGCAATGTGATGTAATAGGACATCGCCACTTGTGACTACATATAAAGTAATCAGAGGATAATTTATACTTTTCATCTATTAAGTCGCTTTTCCGATTTTAAAAACAGATGCCGAATCGTTTGCTGGGTAAGGAATACTTCCTTCTCCATTTAAATGTTAAGAAGGAAGCGTTCAAAAATGATAAAAATTTTCAAAGTTTTGTGTTTACCTAAAATTCTTGTTCGTTTTTATTTATTTTTTATCAATTTTAAACTAAGGATTTTAAAAAAAAAAATTAAAATGAAATAAGTACACGAACACTAGATTTATGGTGGACAGACATACTTCTGGCCTTTGTTAGTCTTGTATGTTTTTAAATTTTGGTTCATCTATATGTTTCGGAGTTTAGTGTGATGTCTATTTTCTCTGAACTAGTACACATTTTGTTAAGGGGCTAGCTGAAGCTCGCCTCCGGGTGCAGGATTTTTTAGCTGTGTTGAAGACGTTGGCCTGTTTTCTGCTCTTTGGTTGGGTTGTTGTCTCTTTGACACATTCCCCGTTTCCATTCTCAATTTTATTTTATACGAACAGACAAGAATGTCATTCAATGATTCTGGCGCCTATGCAATAAACAAAAGTCACATGCAATTACGATGTAGTATGAGATTAGAACATATAATAAATTATTTTCTTTTAATGGAAAGTGGATACTATAAAGCACAAAATGATAAATCCAATGAAACTTACAATGTTTCTAAAATACATTCAGTCACTTATAAGATAATTATTTTCATAGTGAATAAATTGTTTAAGAATGTTTGTTGACCTCTATAAACGGATTGATTATTCGTGTCGTTGGGTTGATGTATCATTGACATACATTTGATATTGTTTTGTTTATAAATACTAGTACACACCCACGACATCGCGGGTCGGTGACTTAATTAAAGTACATGCGCCTTATTTTTAGCCTGGATTTTTAGTATTCGTATTGTCTTCTGCTAAAGTCATGCTGATTATAATGTGCACAGTTTTCTCTGCTTTTAAAATCTTTCTGTTTGAACCCGTCCTGGTTTTCTTACTGCAACGTTTGGTAGTAAGACTCGTCATGGCCAGTTTGGGAAACTGGTAAGCAAATGCTCACATTAAATTTGTACCGATACAGTGTGTTAAATATCCCCCAAACCCATGTTGGTGCTCCTAATAAAGGAGGGAGATATAGAACATACATACATAGAACCGGAAACTACATGTGACAAATACTATTGGTATCGATATCGGATTCGACCAGGAACTTGTTAATTATTGGTAATACAAGTAATAGCTTTTCCAAAAAGCTTGCCGGTTTTTAGTTTATTATGTTGAATTTTTTTTGTTTTTTGCTTTGTATTTTCATCCATTCAGAATATTGCTCTGCATATAAATTGTAATGGGGTGAAAAAAAGTGGAATAGAGGAACGGGCAATATAGTATTGTAAGGGTTACAATTTTAATTTTGTGCTTTGTCATTTTTAACTCCTGGAAAGGGCTTAATTTCTAAATCACTTTGCGTGTTTGCCTGTACTTATTTCAATAAACTTTTTTTAGAAATCAATTTTTCAGCAGACATGTCATTATTTACTCTCTGTTTGAGAAAAGTGTGATCAAGATCTTTTATTAATTGTCCCGATAAAACAACTCACAAACGTTTTAGATCCTAATGAATCTGTATTATACCGAAAATTGTGCCTATATCCTACTTAAGCAGGTTCCAGGAGTGTAAAAAGGTACATGTACATAGTTACTGCGGGAAAATGTTTAAAGAGTAAATCGGTTTAAAGTCTGTTCTGAAAAAAATAACAAATTGGCATGTTATGAAGTAAAGTAAATACATGTGTGACTCTCTGATCGTTACTTTCTGACTTTCTTCTTCTTCCCGGTTACGAGTCGGACTCTACAATTGAGTATAGTTGACTCGGGCGTATCTCAAACAGACAGGAGGCCACTCCTTTGGCCAAAAGTAAAAGTCCAGAAAAACTGGATGGTATTTATATTGAAATCAGTAGGTGCGTATTTACAAATATATACACTGGGTATCCTGTTGTCTTGTTGAGATGTGGCAGGGTCCAGGAGATAGTGTTCACTCTGGCCCTGAAGTCCTCTAATGATCTGGACTCTACTACAGATTCTGGAAAATTGTTCCATTCTTTTGTTGTTCTCGGGAAGAAGGAATGATAATATAGTATTACGTCTCTCTTTACTCTAGCTTTTCAGAGTGTGTGGTTGCCTCTGGTCCAACTGTAACCTGATGTGTTGTCCTTGGATGTATCAATGACAATCAACTGTTGTTGGGTCTTTTAACACAGCACAATACTTTGTTTCCATCGTCTGTGCTGGAGAGATTTCCACGGAAGTTGGTCCAGTAATTTAGTTACACGTCCTGGAGAGTTGTCCTGATAGCAACTGTAGACAAAGCGAGCTGCTCGTCTCTGTACTTGCTCGAAATCTCGTGTGATAGTGATTTGTTGCGGGTCCCATCCTGGAGAAGCATATTCTAGGGTAGGTCTTACAAGGGTGAAGTTTATTGGTCGTCTTCTTAGCTTTGAATCAATCCGATGAGTCAACCCCTTTTCAATTGGATTTTACAGTTAGTTCTTACATAGTAGAAAAGAAAGGATATTGGATATCCATTCAGGACACAAAATCGGTTAAAAAAGTACATGCACAGAAAGAACACAAAAAGCAAAGGAACAGTGTTTTAAAGTTGTATGTTGCGGTACCGGTTTAACACCACTGTCCTAGGTTAGGGGTGGGTTGGCCATCCGCAAACATGGTTATCCTCGCCAAGTTCGCTGTGTGCTTGTACCAAAATCATGAGGCTGAATTTCATTGGTTGTCGTTTGTTACTGTGAATTACATATGCTTTTCGTTTATAATTGTTTTGTACAAAAATAATGACATGAACTTTTTTACATTTGTCATGTCGGATCCTTTAATAGCTTACAATGGTAAATGCTGTAGGGTAACGTATATGTGCTAACATCTATGTCATTTTGTCTCTGCTGGATAGTTACCTCATTGGTAATCATACCATATCTTCTTATTTTTATGTTATAAATATCTGCATGGCTAATTTTCTGGACCGTTGCAAAACATATACTATGATTTTGAACATTTGCCAGCACTATCAAAGTTCAACTATATAACATTGGTTGTCAGAGCAATCATTACAATACAATCATGTACATGAAGCTGACAAAAAAAGTGTGATCATGGTTTTCTCAGATTTTAGCAAATGGTGTTCGTTCCTGTTCATTGCCTTAAGGTCTCCTAAATTTGTGTATTTAATTTTGCTATTTAATGGATTTTGTGTTGATTGCATATTTTCGAAAGTCTGTAAAATTATCCACAATTATTTATTTTTTTTGAAAATTTAGAGCTTGAAATATTGTACAGACGTGTATCCATTGAAGCAACCAGAGTGTTGACCTTATTTAGCTATGGTGTTAATTCGGATGCTGTCTTATGTTAAGTTATTTATGATACCCTACATCTCGTTTTATTTACACAAATATTTCTGACAACGCTTTAAATATTTTTACAAACATGTATACTTGCTTTCAAAACGAACCTTTACCGACGGACAAGCTTATGTGTTTTAAATACTCCTTCCCGAAAAAGTTTTGTAACTGTACTTAGTCCGAATAATTAAAACGTCTTGAAAGGCTATTTTAATTTTTTGGTGTGATGCCTTCCTGCGCAAATATTAGAACAGCCTTTCAAGATGTCTTAATCATTCGGACTACACTGTACTGTGATGGACGTTGGCGTGATAAGGAATTCGACACATGTTGACATCAACCGCCACTCAGCCAGAAAAATTAATCGAAAATGAGTCATTTGAAGATACCTGTTTCCACATTTTTTTTTATACTTTTGAATTATATGAGTTAATATATACTTCTCTTTAGTTTTTGTTAACTACAGACAGAAGTATACGCGATCCCTTCTATATGTTTTATGAACGTAGCATTCGTAGTGGCTCTGCAAAATCACGACAGCGTGTTTCTTGATATATAGCGTAAATTATTTAAATTACTACGTGTGCATTTTATACATAACAAAACCGCTAATGCTTCGGCTATTTATAGCTACGCGTGTAATATAATTTTTCTGTATAACGAGACGCATGAATGATAACTGTAATTTTATTGGTGCTTTGTAACTCAGGAACTAACAGTCTCCGGGACAAGTTTGCACTTCCGCTGAGTGCAAAAGTTGTCACCTTAATTTTTGGAGTTAAGTCAAAATGAAGTTGATAACTTGGTTGGTATTGGTTCCCTGATATTTGTCCTAAAAAATTTTGGCTCTAGCACCACTGTTGAAAAAGTTATGCCCCTTTTTTCAACAATTTCCTCAGAGGAAAAGTAGTTTTCCTCAAGGGAAATCAAATTTCCCTAAAGGAAAAAGATTTTTCCTTAAGGGAAATTGTATTTTCCTCAAGGGAAAAAGATTTCCCTTAGGGAATTTGCTGCATTAATATTTCCTTTGAGGAAATTCTATTTCCTGTGAGGAAATTTGCGGCTTCAAATTTTCCTTTGAGGAAATTTTATTTCCTCTGAGGAAATTTGAGGCTTCGAATTTTCCTCTGAGGAAATTTGCAGCTTCAAATTTTCCTTGGAGGAAATACTTTTTCCTGTGAGGAAATTTTGTCAACTGCAATTTCCTTTGAGGAAATATTTAACAAACACTTTTCCTTGAGGGAAAATTCAATACCACAAATTTCCTCTAAGGAAAACATTGTTCTCCAAATTTCCTCTAAGGAAATTTCTGTACATCAACTTTCCCTGTAGGAAATGCTTTCCCCTATTTTTACTCATTGTAAATTTCTTCACTATACAAACAGTATGAACATAATGTTTACAAGACTTAATAAATGATACAAATGATATTTAAACTTTAATAAATTTATGACTCAAAATTATCATGACATACAAAAACAATATAGTGAGTCTGACTGTTTAGGTCAAGGTATTGTACATACTTTATATGACTTTAACTTTGATTTTTAAAATATTTTTTGAAGCAAAGTATTCTGTTTTCTTTGT